ATAGCAGATCACACATAGGTGCTAATTAAGTAACCAGATAAGTTAATATATATGAATTTGTAATTAATATCTTGAGTATTCTAATAAATGATATTAGCAAAACTGCTAAATAATAGGGGTTAGGGTCCCATAGCCTAGTGGTCTAGGCACCTAACTCTCTACAGATGAGGTCGATGGTTCGATTATAGCTGGTAGTAATTAATTTAATTAATTATCTCTATAATCTTTAGAGCTTTTGAATGCGAAACTATGTAGTAGTAAGACCATGTGAAGTACATATTTGGCTGATAAAGAATTCTCGGAAGGAGCCTCGAGACATGGAGAAGACTAGACACTGTGTGTGATATAGGTCACAAAAGGTATACTGCAGAAGGCTGTGCGTGTGAATCTATGATTGGCAAGGTAGCACTAACAACCCTAAGGCGGCATTGGGATCTTGATTGGGAGGACGGCTAAATGCGGCATATCCAGAAGTGGTAAGAGAAGCAGTGAACATAGTAAGGGGCTGTGGTAAAAAAATGACTTTACTAAATATGGAACACCTTTGGCTCAATGAAACAAAGAAAACTGGTTAAAGAAAGTCTCGAACATATGGCAAGCATCTTGGTGGTATACAAAGAAATTTGGCTAGTAAGTAATAGTCACACAACCAGCATGAAAGTTTTGAGACAAAGCATAACAGAAGTACAAGGTCTTGGGTTACTGAATTGTGACAATAATTAAATAAGGTACTCAACTCCCGTTTCAAGGATCTAGACTTCTGTAACACCATGAGTGATGGTAGTATTATAAACAAGATGATAGCCTAATATATAGTATACGACACGAATACCTAGAAGTACGAACGGAACCTCTTAATGGTGGCAGCACGTGGCTTGAGATATGAGTCTTCAGACAGTGGCAGCACGTGGTTTGAGATACGGATTAGGAAAACTAGTAGAACATCTGGGGACACCAAACTGGAAGCAACAAGAGTGCCCACCCCTAGAACACCAATTTGGAAGTAATACAAAAAGTAGTATTGGGAGTAATGCCAAATATGGAAAAAGATGAGATTTAATTGGTAGGATTTGTACAGTAGTATATATACAGGATATATATGAACAATAATAGGTGGTGGAACCAGGTCGGTGAATTGGGAATTTGTAGTCTGAGGTAGGTTGCGAAAACTCAAGGAGGCTAAACTCCACAGGGATCGGTCATATATAGGTGCTATATAGTAACCGTGTGATGTTGCACTTTGTAAATATAATAGTTTAGCTATAGTTAGACAAATTACTGTAATAATACATGTATGTTCTATGATTATAAGATATGATAATAATAAAGTAGTGACAAGACCATCCTTAAAAAAAAAAAAAAAAAACTGCCAAATAATAAAAAAAAAATTTTTGAAAAAATATTCAAAATTGTCTTATATATAATACTAAATATAAATATATACAATATATAACTAAAAACTACAACTATCAAGAATTACTATAAAAAAATAATAATAATATGCCTGTTACATATTCTTTGAGCCTTATAATACTATCTAACTATAAAGTATTTTAGAAATACAAAGTAACCTGTTATAAAAAATACTTACAAATTTTACTACCATAAAGAGAAATATAGCTATTTGCATGATTATCAAATTTGATATATTAAAACCTGGGCTCTAAAAATTGCAGAAAAGTTGATAGTTATACTAGCGTGCAGGGTTCTGATGAACCCAAACTGAACCGAACTTTGGGTTGAGTTCAAGTTCGGTTTAATTTTGAACCAAACCCAAACAGACTTATTTTTAAAAATACAGTTTAGTCCAAGTTCAATATTGAACTTTTAAACCAGGTTCAAGTTTAGTTTGGGTTCAGTTCAAAAGTTTATGAACTTGTTCAAGTTCAATAAAACATCTATGAATTGTCTCTCAAAAAGTTGAACTATAGAAAACTAAGCCCAAATTCAAAACACCTAAGTTTATAATACAATTTCACCATCAACTTATCAACCTATAGCAAAATTTTATTCATCAATCATTCATTGTGCCGATCTCAACCATTTCGTGCCAATTATATGGCATGGCGAATATGTAGTTTATATTTTAAATGTTTATTCGCCACCCAATAATTTATTATACCTCAGTGTTAGGATTGGCATAGTGATTAAAGAATTGAATATCAAATGTGCAGCATTAGACTACTGCTGCAAATAGATTTTATATTATTGATGATTAGATACAGTATATAATGAAAAAACATATAGAAATAGGCTCATTATTGTTAGCAAGCTATAATTTTACAAGCACGCTTAAACCTGATCTACTAAAGTCTTCCCAATAGCCTAGACAGCTCAACACTTTGCAGCTCCTATGGCCAGACCTGAGTACAAACATCCTTGATTAAATGGCTCAAACCAATCGTGCTACTAGGGAAGGAAACAATACATTTGCAAATGGTAAAGAGTTACATAAAGAGTCGAGACAAGTATGTTGTTAGAATCTTCTATGATATTTGCATCCACAGAGCCTAGATATCAAAACCTTTGCACTGTTCCTAAACATCGCAACCAAAGTTCTTACACTACCAATGCAGCCACGAAGCCTTACTATACACATTAAAAACCAAGACTCATTACATTCAGTGTTGGGGTGCTGAGAGTAATGATCAATCCAGTTTTTTCTAAGGCAAGCAATATTAAAATGAAAGATATGTAATCTACTACTTCTTGAAACAACCTTATGCGTGTCAACTTCCTATTCATCCCACTCCTTCTAATATTCACATGCGCCAATCCTTCTACCCTTGGCTTGACAATCGTTACCTATCTAATGCCATCCATAAAAAATTCAATAATATGCAAAATAATTCTAACGTATATATGATTTGTTTCATCATTGATGACGGGTGATCTACATGAATTTAGCACTGCACTTTTTTCTAATACTTTAGCCTCTAATGATCATATTATGTTTATTTCCAGTATGTACATATATAGTATGATAGGTGCTAGGTATGTATTCAAATTTGCAATTATTGTGACATTTTAATTCTTTGCATGATTAAGGTAACTTGTTATTCCGATGATTACAGTATTAGTCTGCATTGGAATTATCATGAGTTACTGTAAATAATTATATTACAAAACTTACCTGACACGTAAGGTTGAGTTGGTCTTATTCGAATTGTTGTAAATTTTTTACTGCTATTTACTATAAAAAATTCTATTACAGAGCTTACTCACTAATACAGTACACAATGGTTAAGGTATATTGAAATTATGATTTTTATCATGTTACAATAAATATTCTGTTATTGAACTTACCTGATATTCTAGTGCCGCTATGTAGTTAAGGTCAAGTTTGTTTGCATTGGAATATTATAATTTCAACTATGAGGTATTGTAAAAAATACTGTTACAGAACTTCTTGCTGTTCTGATAACCACTGTATGTCATAGGAAGATTTTCGTATGATTGGCTGTTTAAATCAATTTAATTTTACATTATTTATACAGTTTAAAGCACTTTTTAAAAAAATAAACCTACGAAGAATAAACAAAAAAGAAGTATATGGAAAGTTTTATTAGAGTTGTAGGACCTCACTATTAAAAATAATCAAAATCCCTTTTGTTTAGAGAAGTTAGCATAATAGCGACTTCTTAAAGATAGATAGAATTAAGTTATCACCATGCTAACTACTCTAAAACAAAAGGGATTTTGATAGTGGAGTTCTATCGAAGTTTCATTTTTTTTAAAAAGTGCTTTAAACTGTATAAATAATGTAAAATTAAATTGATTTAAACAGCCACTCATATGAAAGTCTTTCTATGACACTGTATGTTGATAAGTTAGTTTGCTTTGGAATCATCATGACTTATATGCAGATTGCGTTAGGTTGCATTGAAATTGTTGTATCACTAAGTGATTAAGATTGAGTTAGTTTCCATTGGAATTATTGTTATTTTATCGTGTGTTGTCGCCAAAATTCTGTTACAGAACTGACTACAGTATGTAGTTATGGTTGGGTTGGATGATGTTGGAGTTATTGTGATTTCTACTGTGAATTCTTGTAAAAAATTCCTATTCACTATTCTGATGACTACAAAGTGTGGTTAAATTAGTTTGTATTGGTATTATAAAATATCCTATTACAGTACTTACCATTCTGATAACCACACTACGTGGCTAGTGTTAAGTTAGTTTGCATCGGAATTCTGTCACAAAACATGCCATTCCAGGATACATAATTTGTAGGTAAGATTGTGTTGGTTTACATGGAATTACCATGATTTCAATTACTTGTTATTTCAGCGACATGTAGTATGTAGTTAAGGTTGAGAATTTCTAAAAAAAAACTATATTATTCAATAATACACAGTATGTGGTTCGTTATTGGATGTCATTGATATTATTCATATCCTGATAAATATTAGACGCATAACTATGCATAATGTGCGAAAGTCGATTTAAAAATCATAAATAGTTGACAAATGGTTATCACGCAAGACTATGAATGTTATGATTAAAGATGTAATTCTGTCATAGTAAATAATCCGGGTAGTATTTTTTTTAGGTAGGCTTAATCATTAATTGAACCTGAACATGTTCATGAACTTTGAACCGAACTCAGACTCGAACCAACATTCTAAGTTCGAGTTCAGTTCAAGTTCATAAATTCTAAGTTCGGTTCAGGTTCAAGTTCAAAGATCTACAAAATTTAAAGTTCGGTTCAGGTTCAATTGAACTTGAACCTGAACCCAATTGAACCGAACTTGAACTTCGGAACACTAGGCTTGAGATACTTATTTAATATGATAAAGATAGCTACATAACTTGAGATATAAACCCTAACAAGTACACCAAGTAGGAGTATAAACTAGACACACATTAACGCACTAATTTGGGAGTTGAGATATTAGACAAAGTGAAAAAAACATATATAAGTTAATTAGAGGTAGAAACACAGTCTACTTACTTCTTTTTAAAAGATTTGTAATTCCTTCACACTCTTTTATCTGTCAAGCCATAAAAGATTTAATATTTTTCAATGCATCCTGAGCATTTGGTCTATTATTACTTCGCATTTCTCTTCCAAGTTCAAGGATTTTTGGTGATATACCAATAAGCCATTTACTTGCTTCAGTTATTAGCTTTCCCACACTCCAAATATCAACTTCACCGTGGTGATTTTCCTGGAACACTCCTGGGGCATGGTTTTCTTTTGCGAGATGAATTGCCGGTTGGGTCGGAGGTTCATCAGCTTCGTCCCAGTCTATAAGAATCCATTTCGATGGTACACTAGATGAACCAGGCAGTCGAATAATGTTGGGCCACCGAATGTCTTGATGGAAGATAGGTTCATCGCCACCATGCATAACCTGCATTGAAAATTACGGATGAGAAAAATCCAGCCAACATTATCTGATAATAATATATATACTTACTACAAGCGCCTCGAGGATACAGACAATGGCTTCAAGGAGTTCCCTTTGATTCTTTGGTCTTACACTCATTCCTTTCGGACCAAGATATACCTCACCTTTCTCATTTTTAGCTTGGAGGAGATTATCAACATTTGGAACTCCCTTTTTTTTCAATAAATTGTAAACATTCTTGAGTTTTTCAACTCGGGTATTAGATTCCATGCGGTCTGTGAAAGTTTTTTTAATATTTGTAGCCCACACAACAATGATCTTTTTGTCTCTGCAATATTGATGGAAAAATATATAAAAAAGGTATCAGCTAGGGATGGGTTCGACTACGAACGGCTACGATCATTCATAGCCAATTTGTTAAATACTGAGACGATTTTTTGTTCTTGAGCTTTTAATTAAAGTTGTTCAGAATTAAATTCTGGTCATCCCATATTATAAGTAGAAAGAA